AACATCAAAGAACCCAGAACAACATCAAAGAACCCAGAATAACATCAAAGAACCCAGACCAACATCAAAGTACCCAGAACAACATCAAAGAACCCAGAACCTCACTTGCCTCAGATAAGATATTGTTCATGATTCAAGGTTGAGATAAAGACTGGCAGAGTTCCAAAGAACAAACCTCTGCTGACTAAAGGAACACACAGACGTGTTCATGATCCACAAGACTTTTTGGAAACTATTCTGTGGAATTATGGCATAATATTTAAACATTTTGAAAGGTTTGCATCCTGTTACATGTGGTGCAAAATGAACAGCATTCCATAAAAAGGTCAAATATGGTGGTCGTAGTATGATGGGCTGCTGTTGCTTTGCTGCTTCAGGATCTGGATGACCTGGCGTGACCTTAAACAGGCTGTTCTCATAACCCTCCAATTTTATAGAAAGACGACATGGACAACATTCCTCCGCGGGGATGTGAGAAATCCATATCGCAAACACTTACTTACTCTTCTCGCTGCCAGCAGCACAACTTATTATTGGGCAATTCTTTTTTCACACAGGGCGAGACAGGTCCATTGTTTTTCACTTAATAAATCTGATTTTCATTTAAAACTGCATGTTCAGTGTTAGTCAGGTTTGTTTGTGATCTGAAACATGTGACACGCTTGCTCATTTTGTTTCAACATAATTCTGAGGCTCCTTGTCCTGTAGGAGTGAACAACAGTTTGAGCTGAGATCTGTGATGAGCTGTGTGGTTGTGGATGTTTCTGTAGCTGGTGGATACTCGTTTCACTTTTTATCCTACTTATTTCTCAACTGAGATGTAGCAGGAGATGAGCTTGATGTCTAAAGTTGTCTGATGCTTTAACACAAACACACACCTGATGCTTGTTTATGTGTGTGTGTGGAGGTGAGCGAATGGTTAGACTGGTGTTCGCTTGCATATTTGAGTGTCTAATAGATTACTGCTGAACACTAAACATTTTGCCCCCCTGTTCGTCTGCTCCTTTTTGCAGCCATGCACCTGTTTGGTCTAAACTGGCAGCTTCAGGAGAGTGAGGGATACGGAGCCTTTGAAAATGGAGGTGGAGGAAGAGACACAACACCCAACACATTTATAGTGTCTACAGACAACAGTGAGTCCCTGCTTAAAGAATTTTTCCTTCCCTTTCTTTTGACATTAAAAACAATAAAAGCTGTGGAAAAGAGCTGGACGCAGGAGCCCAGGATAGCCTTCAGAGTTTACCACATATTATAATCTGCCACTCACTCTCAGAGGTCAGGGTTTCTCTCCAGCCCTTTTCAGAGTCTGATGTTTGATATCACTTTGATGCTTGGCAGGCACACACACACACACACTGAGTTGGACTTGAACAACACCCTTAACTGGCTTTTGGGAAGATGGAGATGTAGTGACCCTGCTTTGAGTCCCTCTGGACTCGAGGCAGAAAACAGGAAATGGACAGTACAACTCAAAGCAACCAGATACAAACCAAACAGATTTTCACATCAATAACATGCTTTGTTTTTAAGTTATGCAGTCTGAAAACTTATTTTGAAGGCAGTGACTAACAGCATTGCAAAGAAACCAGAGAAGTATTGTAAAAGAAAAATGAGTGTAACAGGTAACAGAGATGTAGGACAAAAGCCACGGCTGCTGACCTCACCCTGCCAGTCACGCTTTTGTTAAATGTGCAGCTTTTCTGTTCTGTGGTTGTTCTCTCTCTTTGTCTGCCTGTCAGACTCTTTTAGTTTCATGTCTTCATTTTCTCAGCTTTTCTTGCCTTTTTTTCTCAATTCGTTCTTTTCTTTTTGTCGCTGCTCATCCCTTCTGTTCACACCACAAAGCAGTGCTGAATAAAACTTAAAATGAGCGAGATAACAGCAGCACACACCGACTGTTGGAGGATGTTTACTGAAAGCTGTGAGGGCTCTGAAATCGTTGTTTGGAAACAGAGAAAAACTGTAAATGTTTCCTTTCTGCTGGAAAAAGTTTGCTCCCAAACTTTAAACTTACAACAGTTTAAATATGTGCAGGGATATGAGTCGAAAACAAGTCACAGATAATGTTAAAGAAAAGAAAGAAAGAGTTAAACAGGTTTAAACGATTTAGGCAAAGAATGAGTTAAATGGCAGTGTTGGAAAGCAGATCTCCACTCCTGTGTGTTAGCTGTTATACACAGGAAGAGTGAGGAGAACGACAGAAACGTCAGGGGTGGGAGTCTTTCTCACATAAGAAATAATAGTTTGCATCTTTGAGTTGAACACTTGTGTTATATGCAGCATGTCATATCAGCTAATGCATAGCACAGGTAAATATTCACACTCTGCTGACACACCTGAGCCGGTGAACACACTCTAGCTCTACTCTCTGCAAACTACACTGAAGCTAAGGAAACACAAACAGGTGTGTGTGCCATGATTCCTTTGTGTGAAGGAACCTTTTCTCAGTATCAGTTAGTGTTAGTGTCACAGTCCACGACTGACACATTCAAGGACACTCAGTAAATCACATTGTTGCAGGTTTAAGGGCGTCTTTGCTTTAACAGTGTGGCAGTTCTGAACACAATAACATTAATAACACAACAGCCAAGCTAACTCATAATCCCGTCCATTACAGTATAATACATTCTGTCAACGTTTAGTAAGGTGTAGATTCTATAAAACATGCATCATTGACGTTTGTCCTTGTTGTTATGGCCCTCCCAGTCTTTTCTTTAATGGTTTGTGTGGTAGGTGTTCCAGGTTAACTGGTTTTTACTTTAACTGGTTAGATTTTTCTACAAATTCCACTTTCATTGTTCCAGATGTTATACCTGCAGATTATTCTTTACCCTCTTAAAAGCATGACACACACTGGAGTTTCTGTGTGAGGTATGGGGTACAGGTCAGGAGGAAGAACATGTCATCTACTAATCAAAGCAGTGGTGGTGGTTCAACTCCTGGCTGCTCGAGTCTGTGTGCCAAACATCCTTGAGCAACATATTAAGCCCAAGTTGCTCTTTGTTGCGTTTCCTGTAGGCTGAATGTTGGATAGAAAGCACAGAAAAACATAGCAAAAGTGAATGAGGCAGGTTGTATAAAGCATCCAAGGTGCTTATACAACCTGCTCTGCAAGAGTAGAAAAGAACCAGCCCAGTTACCATTTACATATATAACTGTTAACCACAGGGATCAGCCACGTAACGTTTCATGTCCACCTGACTGAAACACTGAGTGCCGACACTTTCTGAGGTTCAGCTTTTGTTTTCTTTCGTGACTTTGCACTCACTCAAAAGAAAACCTTAATTAACCTGTAAGAAATCTCTGAGTGTTATTATATGTTCACTTACTTACTGTTTTCAACTGACCAAACATAATCATTTCTTCTGCAGTGAATTTTCTGTAGTGAAGTACCACAACCAATGTAACCTGTCTCCAGTGTCTGTTAGCTCTCTAACAAGCACTGGTATTATCTCCGATGTTGACGATGGACAGTGTTCTTCCTACGTAGCCATGATGGTGGCTTTTAGAGCATCTCATGGATTCAGTTTGATGTGTTTTCCTTCTGCAGGTAAGATGCTTTTTCTAGAGAACAACACCATAGACACAGGAGAGGTGGATGTGGGGAGACGAGCCATACAAGATATACCTGCAGGTGAGCTGTGTACACAAATGCACCTGTGTCGGGATCTGCTGTGACTAATACGCTGTAAACTCAGTGTAACATTTCCAACACCCCACACCAGTTTGTAGGATTGTTACGTCGTGTAGTGGAATCTTTCTGTGTTTCACCTCCATGTTTCTGTTAATCAGTTATATCAGTGATGGCAGAGATTCTAACAATTCAGTGGAGTGTGTTACTTAAATCTACTACAAAGAGGAACGTAATCATATTATAATAACTATACTTGCAAACAAGGCAGCACAGTGGCGATTAGCACTGTTACACACAGCAACAAGGTCCTGAGTTCAATACCCCCACCTGCCCGGGGCCTTTGCGTGGGTTCTCTGGCTTCACAGTCCAAAGACTTTCATTATCTAAATTGTGAGGATAGAGTTATAAATATTCCACATGTGAGGAACTCTGCATCTGTAGCACTGTGAATGAAATCACTCGTTTTGTTTACTGGTTTTCACTTCTGACATTATTTTCGAGTGTGTCACAGTAATAAGCCTTAAAGGTTAAACGGCTTTCTTGAAATGCCACACATCCTTTGCCACATATTTATGAATAAGACGCAGTAGTAACTTGTTGTGCTACAACACCACACGCAGTTGCAGGAAACAGAAGTCGATGGGAAATGAATAACAAATCACACTGTTTTTATAAAGACAACTAACACTGAGAAGGCGGCATTTCTGAAAGTCAGGTGGGGAGTGTTAATATTTAAATCACTGACGTTAATGTTGTTCTGTTTCTTTACTCAAGGTGTGTTTTGGAGGTCCCAGCTGTATATCGACCAACCACAGTTCCTGAAATTCAACATTTCCGTCCAGAGAGATGCTCTTGTTGGTGTGTATGGACGCAAAGGCCTACCACCTTCACATACACAGGTAACACGGGAATGCAAATGTTACCAGGACTACTTTAGAACTACTGCACCAACATATTGGAGAGTGGAAAAAGTGCATGAAGTGATATTTTCACCATTTGAAGTACTAATGAAGTAATGTCTAGCTTTAATCATTGATTCAAACAGCAGTGATAGAAACCTGAGTGATTTTCACGTTGTCGTGCGATGACATAGGTTCAAGTTTTTGCCATTTGGCAGTCAGCATTGACTTTTAAGAGACTGCTAATATATCCTCTGTGCCTCTGTGTCCATCCTTTCATTGTTAATAACATTCAGGGCTCTAGAGTGCGACCAAATATTTCAATGGTGCGACTAAAATAAAATCCTTGGTAGCACCAGTGCAACCAGCTGTTCCAGTAAAAAAAAAAGTCTCTGAAAGTCCGTGTGGTCAACAACTGACACACATCATGCCCCTGTCGTGTGTCCCAATCAGACATAGTCAGGGGCGGGACCTCTATGATATGAGAGAGAGGTGAGTAGCTTGAATAAAGCGATATCGATTCATTAAATCCTGAATCGGCTTTTAAATATAAACTTATTTTGCCAGAAACGACGGCCCGTACACGGACACGCCGTCGGGGCTGAAAGCCGACAGCTCGCTGACTCCGATGCGTCCGGTCCGCGCTTTGTGTTTACGGCTTTTTTGCGCGAGATTCTGATGCTGCAGGTTTTGTCTCTTTCCAACCAAAATTTACTGAACCAGCAGCAAAAGAAGATCCAAACTACGCTTCACATAAACATCGTCATGAATTCCCTCTGACTTCTGCTGTTTTGCACTTCATGCACAGCTCTCTCTCTCTCTGTACTTCCCGTCTCAGATCTCTGTTTTCGGCATCATTCATGTGCTTATTACCCATCAGTCTACCGTTGTTTTAAAATGATGCAAAATTTTATCTGCTATAAAAAGCCAGGCCAGGAAAGTCTCCTTCATGTTTTTTTCTCTTTTATCCTCAGTTACTTTGACACAAACGCATCTGCTGTGATGTTCACACCTCTGATGAAGTCTCACGTGTATCAGTACTGATAAATGATCAGAATTATAATATTTCTGACTGTCTGAGGCAAAATCAAATCGAATCAGGACCTTGTGAATCGGGATCGAATGGATTGTAGAAATCAGTGATGATACCCAGCCCTAGTGAGCCGTAGTGAGCAGCCTAGGCCCGACAGAAGTGGCTGCGATAGCACTGCTCAAGTGGCCCCTCCCCCAAACAGGCCGTCAGAGGAGCTGATGTGATGATTGAGTTTAACATTGTCTGCAATATTGCCAAAGAGTGCCAACGCACTTTAAGCACAAGCACCCATTCAGTAACTTATCTTTCTTCTAGAAATGCACTCCAAATAAAGAACTTTGTGTTGACAAGATTGTTAGTTAATCATTTACAAATCAATTTTGTCTGCATAGACAGCAATTTCCCCCAAAAGTGCACATGTAGAACTGCTGTGTTAAGCGATGTGGTTGAAAACTTTGGGTGCGCCTAAGAAAAAAAGTTAGGCATAGCAGTGCAACCGTGGCAACAAGTTAGTGTAGTGCCCTGACATTATTTTCCAGCATCTGCGTGACTCATTTGTAAAAAACAAAAACAAAGCAACATTTTTTGAACAAAACAAAACAAAGTTCGGCTGAATGTTTTCGGTATTGTTGGTCAAACGTATCTAAAGTCAGAGAAGGAAGCTGACTCAATGGGATGTGACCCTGAGTAAGTTTTAGCCCACTAAAGACTATTACTAATTATTAATTAATAAGTAATCATCTGGGAAAGGATAAGGAACTCATTTAGACAACAGATGACCTTCAAGAGAGAGTGACCTAACTCACCACTGAAGGCCTCAGGGGAGCAGAACGACTGAGAGGAAGTGTCAGAGCAGGTTCAGAGCTCGGGGACCAGGTTCGGCAGCCTTGGTGTTAGGGTTTGAATCATGGCGTATATCTCATTGGTGAATTTTCAGAAGAGAAGATAATCTGTTTATGTTGACCTAAAACATTATCCTGACATGGAACATGCAGAGTCTGTACATAACCAGATTGTTCTGTTCTGTTGGCTGAACTCCAGTAAAGGCCTGACACAGGACCTGAGAGCTGCATCTGGCCCTTCAGCTGATCATCGACTGTTCGCTGAAGCCTGATGGTGTCGATGGGATCTGGTTAGAATTGGAACCATTTGACTGGCAATGGCTTCATGTTTGAGGATGACAATGGTCCCAAACACACGGCCAGTGCAGTAAAAGCATACTCGGATAGAAAAAACACACAATGGAAAGCTTGCCTCTCACAGTGTCAGCCTCAACATTATTGAAGTGCGATCATTCTGACAGAGAACAGAAAGAAAGGCAGCCGAGATCCAAAGACGGACCTTGCAATCTCCTTCAAGAAGCCTGGAGAATACTTCAATAAATGATGAGAAAATTACAGGTGGCACATATCATGTGGCTGTTTCTGTTTATGCTCGGTCATGTCTGAAAGGGACTGAGAGGAACCTTCATTTATAATGTAAATATAGATGAGAGGGCATCTGTCAAAAGGTTAGAAGCTATGTTATGCATTCAGCATACAGAGCTGACTCATTTAATTGTGGTGTATGTGTGCAATAGTTGCCATGGTAATGTAGGTCATGACCCTGGGAGGAGATTTTGTAGGCAAAGGACGACATGATATGTTTCCAACTGAGACGATATTGATGTTTTTATCTTTACGCCTGAAAATGAAACCTCACTGAACCAGTGGCTGCAGCTGATATCTGTTCACTACTATAACATTTAGGACAGTTTGTCGTCGTCCCTAGTTCGTCTGACTTTTCTACTTTCAACAAATTTCCGAAATGCTCAGAAAAGCGCATGAAATCAACACAGGAACGACGGCGCCGTCCTAGTGGCAGCCTAAGGCAGCTGCTCTCCGACTCTCTGATTCTGATTCAAGTTATAAATATTTCACAGGCAACTTTGCAAGTGAGTGAAGTGCTTCATAACTCTTAGTCCATAATGCATATAAGCTTCTTCACTAAACTATCCCTTTAATGACGACATCTCTGTGTTCTGTCAGAGGACTAATCCACGCAGTCACACAGCTCATGATGACTTTGCTTCCTGTAAAAGGGAGTTTTCCCCTTTCACTCATTGTTTTCTGTATTACTGTTGTTGTGAAATGGTCCATTACACACAGAGCGAATTTCATAGACGTCTGTTATGTCATGTGAATACTCAGAGTTTAATTGGTGATATATTTAAGATTCACCTAAGACCATGTGACAGCATCATGGCCGGTTTAGCTCAGTGGGCTGTGTGGCTGAGAGCGGCTGGCCAGGGTTCGAGGCTGACCTCTGTCCTTTCTGCATGTGTTTTATTTAAAGGGACAGTGCTGTCTAACATAGTCCAGGTGCAAAACATGAAACTGATGTAACGCACATAAGTTTAGAGTTATTGCTCATTTTCAACCATTGTCCCTTGTCACAATCACAATGCACATATTTTACAATAGAACATAAATTTTCATAAAACTAAAATACATCATGGATACAACTACAATTAATAGACAATAAATGTAAAAAAACAACAACAAAAAATCATTCATTAAAACGACGACAGCTCTGATTTCCCTTTAACTAAACTTTGACCTTCACTGTAAAGGGTCTGATGTTTGACTTCGGTTGGAAGTGTGCTCCACAGACGGCAAGCTGGAAAATGCTGACTGACCAAATGTAGCTCTGCGATATGAAACCTTACAGTTCACCATGCTAGTGAGATGTGTTCTCACTGCACTGCCTAATAAAGACCAAAAAAAGACCACTCGATTGTCACACTGACCTGCACTGCTGTCCTTGCCAGGCCTTGGCCCTTCAGGAGAATCCAGGTACTGTGCAGGGTGACAGAAACTGGACATGCTGTCACCTCTAAATCTCAAAGAGCACAGTGGTTAGATTGTCATAGCTGAAATTTAGGCTAAACCTTGGGGAAAATAAGATGTTTGCATTATTGTGCTTTTTTGTTTTCCAGTATGACTTTGTGGAACTGTTGGATGGCAGTCGACTTATTTCGAAAGACAAACGAGCACTGAGTGACACCGACGCAGCACACATACGTCTAGCCGGTTCTTTCGAAGAAGAGTCTGAGGGAGGCCCCCGACATATCCGCTCCGTGAATGTGCATGAGGCTGGGTTCATCCAGTACCTGGACACTGGAATCTGGCACCTGGCGTTTTACAATGATGGACGAAATACAGAACAAGTCTCCTACAATACCATCATCATAGGTGAGACATGCTTGTTCTTCCTGGGACGTTGCTGTAAGAGTGAGTGCACCTCTTCAAAGCATGTGCTCAACGTATGTGCTACCAGCTTGTTGTTACAGAAATTCAAATCGACTACTACTGTTAATAATAACAACAATAATTATAGTGAGAAACATCAAAGCAGGTTCTGGAGCTCATGGTTATCTGGAACGTGACAGACAACTCGATCTTAACTCGAAGCAACGTTGAGTAAAGCTGCATTCGATTCCCTGATAAGTTATCTCGAAAAATGAGTTTGAAGGGAAAATACAGACAGTTGACTAACAGATTCAAGCCCAGAACTTTCTGTGAGGGAACGTCAGTCACGATATAATCTACATGACAACAACATTTCATCCAGTTTTACTTTTTAACCAAACTGGTTGTGGTTATGCACCACTTACATAATCGTCAGTTAGGGTTAGCGCTGTAAGAAGGATTATTCTGTCTTTGTTTAACATACTAGAAACCTTGAATGGGCTTTTTAGGGAAATGCAGGCACGATAAATGAATTTGGCAGATAAACCTGGTGAGACTGAAGCGACCTGCAACTATATTGGCTGGATGTGATTTTCAATAAAAGACCAATATTTAATGTAATACTAGTGTGCTGTGAAAACCTTCACTGGCACACGTGTGTGCAGTTTTAATTAGAGCAAAGGAGCAAAGAAAAGCACGGCAGAGAGGGAAAGAGCGGTTGTGGTGATTGGATGCATTGATTGGACTAATTGGCTGTAACTATGGTAATAGCAGAAGAGCAGTCACACAGTTTGGTGTGTGTATGTCTTTAAATAATCTCTCTCTCCCACTTTAAATCAGAGTCGATTATGGAGTGTCCTCACAATTGTCATGGAAACGGTGAATGTCTCTCGGGGATTTGCCACTGTTTCCCAGGATTCCTGGGGCCCGACTGCTCTCGAGGTAAACGATCCTGCCTCGCCTACAGGGAAGAAGCAATTGTTGCATGATCCCCCGTTACCTTTAGCAAGGAAGACACTGACCATGACAAAGACTTTAAATATTTTGCATGTTTTCAGCTGCTCTGCTCCTTAATCAATCAAGAATGATTGAAAAGTTACACTAAGTGTTTATAGGGCACGAGCTTTATAACTGAATAGCATTTTATTGAACATTAATCCATCTTAGTTGTTTACACAGTACGTAGCTTGATGGGAACTCGAGGGTTCAGTTATCTTACTGCCTTTGTTGGGTGATTTAGTAAGTGTGACTTGTTCCGTTCATGCATGTGTCTGGTGCAGCGTCCTGCCCGGTGCTGTGCAGCGGTAACGGTCAGTACTCTCGCGGACGCTGCCAGTGCTACAGTGGTTGGAAAGGTACCGAGTGCGACGTGCCAGCCAACCAGTGTATTGACATCCACTGTGGAGGACATGGTATCTGCATAATGGGCGCCTGCATCTGCAACACTGGTTATAAGGGAGAGAACTGTGAGGAAGGTAAGAGTGTGAAAGTGTCACCACAGCACTGAAGTTCCACATAATCTTTCATTCAGTAAACTATTGTTATTCTAATTATTATTTCTCTTGTGTTGTTTTGGTGTTAATGTTTTTTCTGCATGTGATCTTCTTGTAGTGTCTCACACTTGTGCAGAATATTAAACTCTTAAATATCATGTGTAGACCTGTCATGGCCAGAGGCACCTGTGATGCTTTTAACTTAGATTTGACTCTGTTTGGACTAATATTTCCAAACTCTCTGACAAATACTCAGGAAAAAGGCCCTGTTAGCCGTTAGTAACATGCTACACTTACCTCATCTGGTTCCCATTAGTTTCGGTTTTCAACAATAAAACTGAGAAGAGCAGATCCATCTCTCGCCTGGACAAAGGTTTATGCTTTTCTGTTTTTGCCTCCATCTGTTGTCATGATTAGCTGGTATCTATGCAGATAGAATAAGAGTCCTAACAGTAGAGAGGGGCTCGACTGCTGCATCAGTAACAAAGTGGAATCGACTGGGACTGACAGCGGCTCACGCATGCAGCGGTACGCTACACAAGCTCACAAAGTGGAGTCAGTGGACGCTGAAGCACAGAGTGTGGTAGGAGGCTTTCTGCAGAGTCGGGCACTACAGTCACGTGACTGCACGTCACCTTCAGATTAGCTGAAGAACGGTGCGCTTTCCATGGCTGAGCAGATGCATCCAAGCCTTGCATCACCAAGTGATGTGTCACGTGGAGTGAAGCACACTTCCACTGGACTCTGTAGCTGTGGAGAGGTGTTCTGTGGAGCGACGAACCACGCTTCTCTGCCTGGCAGTCCCATGGATGACTCTTTACTGTAATGCTCTTCCTCTACAATAATTCAATTATTTAATTGTCCTTTTGTTCAAACTTCCTGCCCTGTACTTTATCAAACTCCTTCCTGAGATTTTATCCAATAAATATCATCTAAAGACACCGGCGATGCTAAATTGTGAAGCAGGTCACAGAGAGAGGAACCTTGTGACCATTTTCAATAAAATCTCGCTGGTGATATAAAAAAATGTGACATATTCTTAGTGTGTGTTGCCATGGGCACAGATGGTGATGAGTACCTGTGTGCGGCAGTCAAAACTAGAATCCAGAGCATGAACTGCTTCGACTGTAGCCACGCGGACATGTGGGGATTTCATTTGAAGAACGGTGAAAACAGATCTACCCGGTGTTTGTGGACAAACGAATTATTTAATTATTACATTAATATTGTAAAACCCCTAAAAGGCAAAACAATCTATACATCATTCCCGTATTAAGAGCTTTCTCTCCATCCCTCTATAAATGTCATGCGTTCAGCTGCAGTAGCTGCAACAGATTTATACAGATCAATTTGCAATTTTGCTCACTTGAAATGAAAGTTTTTAATTTCTCATTTTAATGAAGAGAGACCGAATATGAAGCAGAAATGTAGAAGAATACTTTATATGAACGATGTAATTATCAAGTATATGAAATGATCTTGACGGAGGTCTGGAGACTGGCTACATCCACTCTGTTTCCTCCCTTTGTTCCCTTGGTGGTACATTTGATAACTGTCATGCTGCAGGACGCATCCAATCCCACGTTAGCGTTCTGGCTGAGGAAAGCACATCCCTGCTCAGGGAGGCATCCCTATGAGGATGCTCTTCTTTGGGTAATTTCTCTTCCTCTAAACATGGCGGGTTGAGTTGGCGGCAGAGAGCTGGATTTTGGCTTCATCTGACCACAGCATTTTCTCCCAAGCCTTCTCACGGTCAAGCTAAAGGTGGAACTATCCCTGTGCCTTTGTAAGCAGGGGGACACTGCGAGTGCTGCAAGATTTCAGTGTTACCAATGATGTTCCTGGTGACCATGGTCCTAACTGCTATTAGACCATTAACTGTGTAGTTTTGGGCTGATCCACCACATGTTCACTCTCATCTCCTGAGACCAAGGTCTTGCACGGAGTGACTGATGATTGACTGATGAAACATTTTCTATTTCTTCCAATCGGAATAATTGTTACCTTTTCACCACCATCACTTATGGCCGGTGCAGTCTCGTCTCTCGTGCGTCTTGCCCACGGTGGTGGAGCGGTCGGAATGGAAGAAACTGATTTTGTGGACAGGTGTGCTTTAGACACACAAGTTTAAGTGTCTGTAAGTAATTTACTGTTACATCTGTGCCACATGGGCACACAGCCCATCTGTGCGAGCCAGAATTCAGGGGTAGGGAGCCAAATGCTTACATCACTGTGTTTTTCTGAATTTTGGTTGATATTCTGTCTCTGCACTAAAAGCAAACTTACCAATTCTACAGGGGATCTAATAATTATTTCCCCAGCTGTAAACGCTTAATTGATTTATTCTAATATGATGTGCAAATACATTTCCACAGCATCTGTTTTAGCCAGATACCTGGCTACAAGCAAGATGCAAACAATGCACTACACTAATTCAAAGTCAATTACAGTTTTTTACAGCCGCTAGGACACATGTCTCAATACTTAGGTCACGTTTGCAAAAGTCCTCACACAGTGAGCACAACAGAAGTCTATGTGGGCTAAACTGAGGACCAGTTATCATTGTTTTGGCACAAAATGCATTCAATGACTACATCTCTCAAATTTCATGAATCATCTTCTCACTCAGACACAACAACTGCCAAAAAGCTTTGTACGTACAGGACATTTTGCATGTGCTTACATACTGTTTTCAAAACTGTTAAACTCATGGTCAAAACAATAACACAATGCAAAACTT